GGGGGGGGGGTCGCACATACTCGCGGGTTAGCAGACAGACTCTGGACGACGAAGACCACGGGACTCCCAGCTGATTTGATGGCGTGGACCGCCTCTTCATGACTGGCAGCTCGTAGGTCCACACCCGACACCTGAGCGCACGCGCACACACGCACAACTTAAGATTTTTGCATTGCGTTTCACCTGCAGCGCATGATTGTACGATATCAGAAGAAGAAGAAGAAGAAATGAGACTGGGCCCACAGGTGCAGGAAGTAGACTGGCCCTCTGCGAGTCACGTTTCCGTGCACAAAGTCGACTGGGCCTCAGTCAACCGCATCAAATGAAAAGAGAGAAGCAGCAGTGACAAGCAAAGAAAGTTGGAAAAGGAGGAGGGGGGGAGGGGGGGCGAAGGAGTGGTGGGGCTACACAGGAGGTACCTGCAGGATCTTGTCCCCGGTCTTGAGGGCACGGGTGGCGTGGGCGGGACTTCCGCGGAGTACCTGCTTGATGAAGATCCCCTTGAGTTCTTCGCCGTTCCTCAGACGCTTGATGACGTGATGGCCGCCCACGATGCTCAGGCCCAGCGACTCGCCCGCCTCGGGGCGTACCTCCACCCTGCGCGCGCACGTGTCACCAAAATGGCCGCTTGGCTTGAATGTCCGCCGGGGGGTGAGGGGGCATTACCTGCGCGGTGGTCCCCAGTGACTGAAGCGAGGAGTTTCCTCACCTTCGCCCTGTTCGCGCTCTGGAAGCTCCCTGCACACACGCACACACACTGAGCAAGATGGCGCGCACGGTCGGCGCGTCTCCCACCGCGACTCACCCGCCCCCTCTTCTGGCAGCAGAGAATCCTCCGTGACTGCGCCTCCTCCGCTTCTCAGCGTCAATCATCCTGACGACGGACCTGCGGCGACAAACGCGAGCAGTCGACAAAATCACCACCAGACGGCGGCATAGACGACAGTAAGCCGGGGAGGGGAGGACTCACTCGGTGTCTGTACCGCTGAGTTCCGAGTCGGCCTCGGCGTCGCCGCCTGGGCCTGCGCGCGCGTTTTGCATTGAGTTTATGGCTGGCGAAATCAAAGTCAAACGTGGATCCGGCTCACCAGGAAGTTGTCCGTCTTTGGTCTGCAAGGCAAACGCAAAGAGCGGATGAGTGGCGAGGTCTCCCGCTGGCAAAAGCCAGTTTGCGGCACGGCGAAAGGGGGCACCCCGTGACAAGCCCCCTTTTTCGACATTGGGTTTCTATTTGACCAAAGTGACCTCGCCCTGCGCGTCATTTTGCACGGCTTGGACATTTATCCGGGGTCGGAAAGAGAAGACGGGGCCGGCGGAGGGCCGGCGGTCTCGGCGAGCCCCGCCTCCTCCTCCGCTGGGCCGAGGGCCGAACCCTGCGAGGAGCTCACGTGAGCGAGCTCACCACCAGACGGCGGCATAGACGACAGTAAGCCGGGGAGGGGAGGACTCACTCGGTGTCTGTACCGCTGAGTTCCGAGTCGGCCTCGGCGTCGCCGCCTGGGCCTGCGCGCGCGTTTTGCATTGAGTTTATGGCTGGCGAAATCAAAGTCAAACGTGGATCCGGCTCACCAGGAAGTTGTCCGTCTTTGGTCTGCAAGGCAAACGCAAAGAGCGGATGAGTGGCGAGGTCTCCCGCTGGCAAAAGCCAGTTTGCGGCACGGCGAAAGGGGGCACCCCGTGACAAGCCCCCTTTTTCGACATTGGGTTTCTATTTGACCAAAGTGACCTCGCCCTGCGCGTCATTTTGCACGGCTTGGACATTTATCCGGGGTCGGAAAGAGAAACGGGAAAAACGCTTCGCCGCAGGCTCGGGCGGGCATTTGGACGAGCGACGGCGGCGGGCGAAAAGTTGCAACTGGCCTGTTGCGTGTCCGAGGACGCCGCCTTCCACCGCTCCCACCAAGGGGGCGCCGTCGTCTCCGTCTCGTCGTCGTCCACCGCCATCTCCCCGCCCTCGTCCTCCTCTTCCTCGGCGGGGTCGGACGTCAGGGAAGACGGGGCCGGCGGAGGGCCGGCGGTCTCGGCGAGCCCCGCCTCCTCCTCCGCTGGGCCGAGGGCCGAACCCTGCGAGGAGCTCACGTGAGCGAGCGAGCGAGCGACGTGGAAAAGTCGCCCATCGAGCGAGGCCAAAGCAAACGCGTGCTCGGCGTGACCGCAACACGGAAGACCGGCAAGTCGGGAACGACGGCCCGTCGTCGGCTCATTCCCGACGAGCCCGGTGTGCAATTTAGCCGGCGGTCTCGAGCGCAGCTTGCCAGCTTTTGCGGCGCTGCCGAGCAACACGTGAGACGGAATCAAAGAGGAAGTCACGTCGCGCAACCCTTTCCTGCGGTGACCTAATACTGCGGTAGCCGTGGACCGGGACGGCACCCCCGCCCCCGCCCCCGCCGCCGCACCCACTCCACTTAAGAGTGCAGCGATGTCGTCAAGCTGATGGAGCACTTTGCCGCGTCCCGACATCCGGCTGACTCAGCGACTCTCGTGGCGCGCGAGCAGGACGAGGGGGACAGACGGGGGAGGGGGATGAAGAAGGAGAGGAGGAGGGAGGCGGATAGAAGGTGAAAGGGATGCGGGCCACTTTGGCACTGGATTCCGGTCCAGCTTTCGCTCCCCACGTTGGGCCGGCGCGGAACGGGCCCTCGTCCGCAATCGAGTCCGTAAAGTCCAGGCGGGAGGAAAGAAGGAAAGCCTGAAGGAAGGAAAATAGAAGAAAAAAAGTAGGCAAGGACGAAAGAAGGAAGCACGACAGAAAGGTGCCGGAAGAGGAAGGAGGTGCGAAAAGAGCAACGGGCGAAGGAGGCGGCGGCATCTCATGCCGTTGACGGAAACCAACTGGTCGCCGGGAAGCAGAGCGCCGGCGCGCTCGGCCGCGCCGCCCGCCACCAGCGAGCGGATCACCATCACGCAGCCGCCGGGGTCCAAAGGGTCCTGAAGACAAAACAAAAAGAGGAAAACGGCGTGCCGGCGAGCTCGGCCGGCAGCGGCTTGCGCAGGCCCAGCCGCACTGCGCCGGCCGGCGCCCCCTTGAGGACGCTCACGGCCCGCTCCAGGCTCAGGCCCTCCAGCCGGATGAGGAAAACGCCGCCTCGTCGTCAAGCGCGGCGTTTGCGGGCGGCGCGCCGGCGAGCTCAGGGACGTGGCCGTCGGGCGGAGAGCCTCCGTCCGGGCGACCGAACTCGCGGTCCCATCGCAACCATTCATCGAGTGACGTCGGCGACGGCCCAAAGCGTCCGAGCGAATGTCGGAAGGCTTTCCGATTGCTCGACGGCTCTTTGCCGATGCCGCCGCGCGCCGCTCCGTTGACGCTGGGCTGAAGACGACGAAGCCCCCGAAAAACACGAAACTGGCTGTGTTGACAATCGCCGAGTCACCAAATTGGGATTTTTTTTTTTTCTACCCGTATGTAATCAACTCTTCTCACGCTAGGCGAGTCCACCCCCGTTGCGTTCACACGTCCCATTTTATATCGGTGCTGCGTCGCAAACTAGCATTTACTCCGGAGTCCATTTTTTTTAACCACCTCCTGAGCAGGGTTCGATTTGCTCCGGATGAAGCCGTTTTCAGGGGCGACACCGCAATCACTTGGTACGTACGTGCGAAGGCTCTACGGGGACACATTCAAGTCAACTTTATGGCCTGAAACGGATGCTCTTCCTTTTTTGGCTTGTTGTAGGATGGCAGCAATCCACTTCCGTACTTTGCAAGTGAAAAAACGACTGGGGGCCTTTTCCGGAAATAATTGACCGTCAAATCATTTTCTACACTACGTACGTCCATTCAAAAAAAAAAAAAGTTTCTCCGTTTCTCCGCTCGTACTTTTGCCACCTGCGGTCGTGATGGAAGGAGGTGTTGGTGTGCACTTGCGCAGAAACCTTGGCGTTGTCTGGCGGGCACTCGCAAGTTTGCAGCCCAGGCAGGAAGCCACGCAAGTGCCAAACTTTTGTTGAACGCCGCTGTATGCCCGCTGCATACAGCGGGCGCGCGCGCACCTACGTAGACGCGCGCGCGGCGGCGCTCCCCCCCGCTAGCGTCGTCGGGGGAGCGCGGCTCGGGTCGAGGCCGGCTCGGCGTGCCAACTTTTTGTATTTTTGGAAGCGGCGAGATGGCTACAGGTGATGACGCTCCGCCTACTTCATTTTGCAAACGCCAATTTTCTGCCAAGAGCTTGAGCGCGCCAAACTACACTCTCTCCGGCCCCTCAGCTTGGAGGTGGAGGAGGGGGGCGGGGCGGGGGGAAACCGCGCCGACAGACGAAGAGCTCCGAGTGCGCAGGGACGGAGGGGAGGCCGCGCCGAGCCACGTGGAACCACGTTGCGGCGGGCCGGGTACCTGGTAGTCCAGAATGCTGAAGCCCAGGCCTTGGCCGGCTTCCTTGCGGAGCTCCAACACGTCCACCTCAGAAGACCACAGGGCCAGCTCGCCACCTTCCTCCTCCGATTCCTGCCGGCACATCGCTCTCGTGTTCAGCGTCCGCCTGTTCGTCAGACGCGAGCGCGACCGTGTTCGAAGTTTGCTTAAAGGGGGCAGGGGGATATATTCGGACGGGAGAAGGAATTAAGGTGAACCAGTCGGCCGCCTCCTGTGCGCGGGAGGAAGATGGAAGACCAAGTGAGCCGCTGCACTTGCTGTCGCCGGCTTCATCTCCGACTGGCAAACTCAAACTGAAACGGTCGCAACTTTGAAGGGGCCCTTGGGTTGCGGCTCACTCGCTTAACTTCACGAAGACGTTCGTCTGCCGATGACTCGTTCGCTCAAACCAATTTGAAAAAAAAGAAAAAAAAACCAAATAATCATGTCCATTTGCTTTGCTTGACTTCAAAATGGGACATTGCAGAAAAGGAACTGATGGACTGATTCGAATCGCGGCGGAGCGACTGGACCAGGAAGTGAATCTCGATTTGAGAAACATCTGATTTCAAATTTGAAACGATTTTTTTTTTTTTTGTGCGCAGGAAAAAGCAAATGACAAATTTCAAAACACGTTTGCCACCCCCCTTCCCCCAACCAATCAAGTCCAACTCATTCCAACGATATTATCAATCGCAAGCGACGACCTACGTCATCCACGCCGCGTCCGCGTCGTTCCGACTCTTTTTCGGCTTCTGAGTCGGACGTCAGCTGTCGGCAGCAGACCAGCGTAAAAGGCGGCGGCGCCTCCTTGAGGAAGGACAGCACCTCCCGACGAGACTTTCCGCACAGCGGCACCTGGTTCACCTGCAAGGTACGCGCTGATGTTGGATGGGCAACAAAGAGGAAGCTCGGATGGGGCCGGCGCTTTTGTTGGCATGCAAATTGTCAGGGCCGTCCTGAAAGCCAAGCCGGCACCTGGTTCACCTGCAAGGTACGCGCTGATGTTGGACGGGCAACAAAGAGGGCGCTTTTGTTGCCATGCAAATTGTCACGGCCGTCCTGAAAGCCAAGGGAAGGCCATTTGACAACTCATTCATTCATCAATGAATCGCAACTTATCTTGCACCGGGTGCCGGGCCCAGGAAGCGACACGCCCACGCGGGCGCTGCGAGCGGCGCAGCCTGATTTTTCGGGCTCGCGCAGAAAGCAAAAAATACATCGTCCGGAGGGCGCCTCAAATCCCCCCAAACTCCCCAACCGGAGGTCGCGTTTCCAGCTCAGGGGCCCGCCGGCTGAGGACCAATTTTGCGCGTTCACCTCCAGCAGCTCGTCCTCTGCTCTCAGGACGCCATCTTTGTCCACGGGGCCTCCGGGCACCACGCAGGAGAGGTAGTGGTGGCCGTCGAACGAGTCCAACTCCAGGCCCAGGCGAAGCGTGTGGACGGGAAGGAGCTGCGGGCAAACGCGACACGTCACGTCACGTCGCGTGACATCACGCGGGAGGAAATCGGGCCACCCGCGTGCGTCACCTTGGAGGACCTCTGCGGCTGGGCGTGGTCCTCAATCGCGGGATGCAACTTGACCACCTGAAAGAAGGGCCTTCGAGTCTCACCCGTGCAACAATTCATTGAGCAACCCTCCGACTGACTCTGGCCTGCCGCCGGCAGGTAAATTGGGCAATGAGCTCGGGCCGCTACGGCTACGATCTGCGGCTCCGCTGACCGTTTGCCTTTGACACGAGTGTGTCGGAAGGGGGACGGGGGTTCGCTGAGAACACTCGTCGCGTCTCACCAGGACTTGGTGGTTTGGACCGAGAGCCCGCTGCCACTTGGCCTTCAGAGCCGCCTCAGGAGCTGCACACAAACCGGACGAGGAAATCACACATGCGCGTGCGCAACAACGGACAGCCCAAAATTGGCAAATAAAACACACTGGCGCCGTATTTCTTGTGCGGTGTCGAATGCTCCATCTCGCTTAAGGTGAGCCGCGGTTGCTATGGTAACCTGGTTCAAGCTGATGTCGGTCCGCTGCTGAGCTCACCACAAAAAATAAAAAAATGGCAGCACTCTAGATTAAATTAGCATTGCTAAACGCGGCCGGGCCATCATTAATCTTTGGCATTGAGAAGAATAAAAAAGCTCGTGCATCCGCACTGCGCCGTGCGCCAACGGCTAGCGGGCACATTCGCAAGCAAGAATGGAAACGCCTTCGGCCAGCAGCAAACTTCGACTTGAAAGGCTGTCCGGGGAATCCCTCCCTCCCTCGCGAGTCCGCCATTTTTCGGACACTGCCGGAATGTGCGGTAAGTAGAGGTTAACCTCTAGATGGCGCACCGTCTTGTGGTATCTTGCAAGGAACTGTGTTGAAGCAGGTGGAGGAGTTTCATTTAACGTAGTGTTTGCCACCATCTTGTGGCTTTGAGGGGGAGAGGTGCCAATCACGACAAAGTAAGCAGACCGACTACCAAACCTTGTGTGTGTGTGTGTGTGTGTGTGTGTGTGTGTGTGGGTGTGTGTGTGTGTGTGCATGCGCTCACTGCTGCTTGAGTTGTGTGTGTCCAAATACGTCGTCTTGAAGTCTGGTGACCTTCGCAGTGACCCACGAGAAGACTCCACTGAAAAACACACACACCATCAGAGATAGTATTACACACAAATAGAAGAACAAAAATACGGGAACCCCCCCACCCCGAAACACACACACACTCGCGCACGTAGGGTAATGACACAACACAACCACAGGCGGCGCTGGGGTTAGCTACCTCTGTCCAGGGACCTTTCGGCGGCGTTGTTGTTCCTACGGACGAGCGTGAGGAGCACGGTGCGTCCCGTCCGTTTCATGACCTCCACGACTTCCTGATTGGTCAGACCGTGGAGGCTGACACCGTCCAGCTGGACGAGCACAAGACAAACGCGGGCGTCACCACGGCGCTGCATCCGCCTTGACGATCCCTCAGCGCAAGCGAGTTGGCCATCTTGTAAGGCTGTCGGAAAGCATCGTGACTAGCGCCGCGCTAACAATACGATAAGTTATTCGAGGTGCCTGTTTTTTTTTTTCTTTCTTTCTTTCTTGAAATGTATGTCTGGGGAACGGAGAAATTGGAGAGGAGCGCACTTCAGACCCCCGCCGCTAGAGAGCGCCAGCAAACTTCACAGCTGGCATCAAGTCTTTGGTTTCCATGCGGCGCAAGGACAATTTCAGTTGGCGGCACGACGGCATCATTAAGTTGCTTCGCCAAACGCCAACAGGTATCACAGAAGAAGAAGAAAGAACAACATATGTTGGATGTAGTTTGTATGCAGTTGTTGTGAAACGGTGGGGGGGGGTTTGGGGGGGCGGGGGGCAATGGGAGGGATTTAATTCATTTCAGTCAGGGGAAAGACGACTGGCGTTGCGCGCGTGGTCACCCAACAAACTCAACTTGTTCAAGGTGCGACTTGATAGCGGTTAGGATGACGATGGCCAACGCGGACAGAACAATGATGACATCGACACAGCGTCGGCGGCGGCGGTCTTCTTACGGCAATGAGTCGGTCTTGAACTCTGATGTTGCCGCTGTGATGGGCGGCGCTGCCCGGGACCACGTGCTTGATGAACACGCCCACCGCATCTGTCAGGAGAAGGACAACACCACCGTGAAGAGATGGGCCCGGATGCTACGCTTCCGAAAACTTGAACCTCGGCTCAACAAAGAAGAAAGAAGAGGAGGGAGAAGACTTAGCTCGTCCCCCTGGCTAGCTCGCCCAAGTGGAACATGGGGGGGTCGTACAGCGCTGACAGAGCACATCTTACCGTGGTAAATGTACAGGTGGTATCCTAGGAAGAAGTAAGAAGAGAAAAGGGCGAGGGGACGCGGTGAGGCGGGCTACCGTGACTGGTGAGGGGGTTTTGTCCAATGATGGAGATTCCGAGGCTTTCTCCGTCTTTCTTGGTGAGCGGAACCTCGTGTATCTCGTAGCCGTCCAGGTTGGGCTGAAACGCAAAGGCGCAAAGTGGGAAGCGAGCGGCGGGGAAAGAGGAAGCGGCAAAAAGGAAGGCGCGAGTCGGTGGTCGGAGGGAGCGGCGGGGACTGGGGGCGAGTCCCGCCCGCTCACCGGAAGGTGGGGAGCAGAAAGGAGGGGTCGGCAAGGAGGAAGTCAACTCCGCGGCGGGAAGTGGGATGGAGGAGGCGGGGAAGAGGACGTCACGGCCGCTCACCGTCTTGTCGGGCCGGCGCCGGGGCTGCCGAGGGAACGACACGGGGGCGGAGTCGGGCGGCGGCGGAGGGGATTTGCTCTTCTGACCGCCCCGGCCCCTGGCGACCAGCATGGTCACCCGACTCCCGCACGCTCGCAGCACCTGGACCACCTCGTCGCTGCTGAGCCCGTCGGTGGGCGTGGCACCGATGCGAAGGATGCGGTCGCCCGGGCGCAGGCGCCCGTCCTGATCGGAGCGCCGCGTGAGCAGGAGAGAAGGAGCGGAGGAGGAAGAGGAAAGAAGCGCGCGCCGCGCACGTACCCTGTCGGCGGCGCCGCCCCCGACGAGCGTCCGGACCACCACGCCGGCGGTCTTCCCGCCCACGATGCCAAAGCCCAGGCCCGAGCCGTCGTTGAGCAGCTGGATCTCTTCCGCGTGAGCCCACTCGGCCTCGGAGAAGGTCACGCCGCGATCTCTCGTCGGAGACGGGCCGACGGCCGGGGGGCCGTTTGATGTTGAAATGTGAGGTTGAGCTCGTCTTACGGCGTTGACGTCGGCGGCGGCGGCGGGCGGTGAACACGATGGGAGTGACGTCTGCGGCGGCGTGTCCCCGGGGGGGCGGTCCCTGGCGACCGTCAAGTCCACCGTGGGGCGGGGCATCTGCAGCCAAGCCAACGCCTGACGCCGACTCATGCCCGCCTCCAGGGGGCGCCCGTTGATCACCAGGATCTGATCGAGCACCTGCAGGCGCCCGTCCCTGTCCGAGCAGACGCAAGGCCATCAAAATGCGCTGGCGGAATTTAAAGCGGTTAACCCTTGGCTGTATGAGCATCAACGAGCGCCAGCATTGTTCCCTTCCCTCGTGTGAACTGGGGTGAAAATTGTGGAAGAAGGCAGGCCCGGCTGGCCGAGCGTCACCTGTCAGCGACGCCTCCGGGCTGGATGTGTTTGACGAAGACGTCGGGACCGCCGCTTCCCGGGTGGAGGCCCGCCACGCTGAAGCCCAGACCGCCTGACGCCGGACGCGTCAGATGCACGCGCTCCGTCGGCCGACCCTGAAGTTGGGACCCGCCGCGCCGCGTGCCCACACGGTAAACACCAAAATAAAACAATCACCAACGCACTTTCACAAACACACACAAACCATCGTACGGACAGGCAAGGATGCAAACGCACGCATGCACGATTTGCGCTCATCACGTGACCACATTGAGGGTTTGCGCGGTACTCACCGCGGCCACGGCCGCGATCCACCGGTGAAGGCGGTCGGGCGAAGGAGGGGCCTCGAGGACGAGCGCGGCCGAGTCGTCGGTCGGGACGGCCGAGGACGGGGGCGAGGCGCGGCTGGCCGCGGACGCGCTGTTCGGCGCAAAGCCCGAGCGCCGGCTGCCCTCCGGAAGCGGCGTACTTAACTGGAGAGGCGGGAAGGAGGACGGCAGGCCGTGAGGCCACAAAGGCAGACGCTCGCAACTCAAGTCGCCGTTCCCTCCCAAGAGATTGCGAATGCCATTTATCCGTTCCGGCCTCATTTGGTCTGCAGAACAACACGCTTGACCAAATCCTGCAGCGCAGTCGTGATGTCGTCAAACGGAATGAATTTTTTTTTTTTTTTTGGGTCCCACTTTGAATCCAATGGACGGCCCATTGTGCTTGGCCACCTGGGGGCAGCATAGGGCAGGTGGACAGCCCAACTCCTCGCAGAGGATAAAGAAGACAAGCACTCAAGAAATTGGTTCGACTCAATGTCTCCATTGTGTTGCAGTGCAGCAAGTGCTCAAATCACGCCAACAAATTCAACTCAACCCTCACTTGCAACCCCACACACACACACACACACACACACAAACTGATAAATTCAACTCAAGACTCATGCAAATACACTCACATTCACTCGTCAAAGACATCCAAACTCCCTCACATGCACACATACTCGCCAACACCAAAACACACCACCTTTAGCGTGTGCGCACGCACGTGCACGCGCCCACACACAAAGTGCGCATGTAAAAAAATCAATGCCTTCCCTACAGGTAATGTATGAATGACCTTTCCTCTCACTTTGTGTCGTCGGGCGGGGGGCGGCGGCGACCGAGCGCCCAGGCGACCGAGCCGTTTGTCAAAGCGGGACGGCGGGTATTAAAGTGTGATTGATCGGCGCCGGGGAGGCCAACCATAAATAAAGTGCCGCCGACGCCTTCATAGAATTACAGTACATCGAGTCGCCGACACCCGTCGCGACCTTGGCGCCACTTACAATATGAAGCCCGCCATTATCTTAATTTGGACCCGCCATTGTTTATCGGCGAGGTCCAGCGCCGCGCCCAAGACGGAAACGGGACGCGCGCCTCATCTAACGGGCGTACGCCTCCAACGCGGTCAAGTGACATCACATCTCTTTCGTGCCGAGCTAACGTACATGCTCACTGTGAAGCCGCGTATCTGCCTTGAGATAAGAGTGATTTGAGTTTTTGGAAGATGTGGGCCATCTTTTTCTTTTTGCCTTGAGAAGCGCTGTACGTGTTTGACGGCGGTGAACTCACTTCAAGTCAACCATATTGCTCTGCTCTCTAAGTCACTTTAGCTTAATGCTAGCAAGGCTAAACGTGCACACAGACACGCACATTCATACACACACGCATGCATGCGACACACACAGACACGCCCACACACACGATGGTGTGGACATCGTGCGTACCTGCTCCTTGAGGTGGGCGACGGCGCTCTGCAAAGCGAGCACGTGCGCGAAGAGCGGGCTGTCCAAGGTCTCCCGGAGTGCCGCCACGCGGCCCACGTGGCCCCGCCACTCCTCCTCCTCGATGAGCTTGGCCCCCAGACGCTCGAGGGCCGCCGCCGCCCGCCGACACTCGCCGGGGGACACCGCCCCGGCGGGCGCCGGCCAAACTGGACCCGGGCCGGCCTTGTCCGGCATCCCGCGCGGCTCTGCAAGAAAAGACGCTCGATTCATCCGCGGCAAACGAATGACTTTGAAAACGACAGAAACGCATCCTCAAAGCAACGTCAAGCCCACTCGGTGCTCTCCAATACTCCTGATAAGAGACTTTGTCTTACATCTACAAAATATTCCCCAAAGGGGACCTCAATAACCGGCAATGGGGGTAGTTGGCAACCGGTTGAGGGTGCGCCCCGCCTGCTGCCCGATGATGGCCGGAATCGTCGCCGGCACGCCCGCGAGCCTCGAGCAGGAGAGGCGACTCGGATAACGGATGGAGGGATGATGCGCCAACTTCAACGGGAGGTCGAGTTGCAAGACTTTACTTGAGTGATTTCTTGACGCCGTACCACAGGTTGAGAATGGCTGATTGGGATCGACTGTTAGCATGACGGAATGCGATGACCTTCACTTAATCCCGCCCTCACAGCAACTATCTCCGCCCATGACTTGCGAGATCGACTGGCTGGCTGAAGAGCCTCCACTTTCAAGCAACAGCACCAGGGAAGCGCCAGCTATGAGGGGCGGTGCTGCCTTGAGCTGTGAATCGACCACATGCAGCCCACTGTCGTGTGGATGTGAGACTTTGTTGAAATTCTTCTCCAGCACCGGCCCTAATTTATTTTTGGACGATATTATCAAAGAGCAGCAGAGTTAGGTCACTACATGAGAAAAAAATGCAAATGCAATCTATTGAAACACCCAGCTTTGCTCTTTTTGGATACACTTAAGCATCTAGTAATTGACCGATAATACACAAAAAAAAGAGGACAGGCCCATCTGCCAAGGCTTCCTTCCATCATCGACCAGAGAGAATTGCTTCCTTCCATTTGGATGAATGCAAAACGTAAACGTACCATGTTCAAACGTGACACTCCGCACATGAACTCGGTTGGGTAACTTCAAATGTGAACCTCATCCCGTTGAAACGTGAACTTGACATGACACTGAGCACCTTAAAATGTCACACCTCACCTTCAAACTTGAACTTTGTGAATTCTACCATTTTAAAATATACCATGTCAGCGTTATCACTTTAAAAGGCGAAATGAAAAAGCTTCCGGATGGCGATTTAAAAATTGTTGACGTCTGTTGCAGGCCGGGCCACTGCCACTGCCAAACAAAGCGCACCGCGCAGGTCGACTCACCTACGCGGAAGCGAATTGGGAAGGTCGATGGGGGCGGGGCTGGGGGTCCAACAAAGCAAACAATTTGATGGTCCTCTTCGTCAATAGTTCACCGTAGCGAATAGCGAACATTGGAATGCGTCTATTGACACGCAGACAGAGTTTTCGATGGGCGGGGTCACTGTCTTCGCAGCAACAGGTGCATGAACACGAGATGAACAAAAACTCACACAAAAAAAGACAAAATAGACAATACAAACGAACAAAGTCATCCACTGGTGTGAACGCTGGAAAGAAAAAGCAAAGTTTCTGTCGTCTCACAACTTTGTCGGCTAGCTGCTAGCATGCGAACCACCTGATCTCAACGCCCCCCCCCCCAAAAAAAAGTCTCGTTTTGAGTTTTTCCCAAGCGGAAAAGACACTCGCGCAACGTGGCCATCGAGACAAGAGCGAAGAGAAGCGACGAGTTATTTCAGAAACTTTGGTCTCGAAAGTGACGCGAAACTCACTTGAAGCGGTTTCACTTGGACGACGCGATGCTGCCTTCACCTGCTGTGGGAAACACCGCCGCTCTTCTCAATACACGACACGGCAACGCCAACACACGCGTCGATGTCTTTCCCTGTTTTAATGGAGAGCTTCAGCATTTACCTCACAACGAACTCGAAGAGCCACGCGGGGGCACGTTCGCTTGAAATGTTGCCAGTGAAGGAGGATAACGCTGAATTTGTGACGTCCTTACCGCCCCCCAACCCCACCCGACAGCCTAGAAGGTGGTGCCTGGTGACGTCACAGACGCCGCCATGTCGCGGTGTTGTTGGTGCGCCGGCTCGGGGACGATGTTGTTGTTTTTCTTGTGTTGGGCGTCTTTTCGGTGGACGATTGTCGCGGCGGAGTTTGCGGAGGAGGTGGGCAGCTGCCACAACCTGAGACTCGGACAATATCCTTCCCATGACTCGCTTTACTCGTCTCGGACGTGCACGTCGATTTTATGCTAAGGTTGAGCTAGCACGTCGCTTAGCCGTCACCTGCGAACAGCCCAAAAAGTAAAAAAAAAAAACATGTCGCGGTGTGACATTGCGTCATTGTGCAAAGCCTTTGACACTGGACACGAGATAATTCGGTAAAAAAAAGCTCGGATGCGAGCGTCAGCCTTGACTCGTATTGAGTTTTTTTTTTCCTGGCTCATGTTGTTTCAATTACAATCTGTTGAGCTGGAACTAATAATCCTGTTGATAATATATTCATCTGTTAAAAAAAAAATGGGGAGGGGTGAGTAGAATTTTAAAAAAGGCGATGTTTGTAAATGACTTAGTTTAAAACACACACACACAAAGCAAATCAGTCTGCTTTCGTAGAAGATGACACAAATCGGGGCGGGGGGGGGGGCAATTCATTTGATCGATTCATTGTCGCACCTCTTTTCGTGTGATCTCACTTTGAAGGCGACGTATGGCCATCTATAATAGTTTTAATATCGTGCACCGGAGGGTTGACAAAGCGTGCTAAAATGTTGACGTGACTTCCCGTTTGGTCAATCCTTGACGGCGCCGCTGACGTATTTGTGTCACGATCCCAAGATCGACGAGGTCACTCAGGAGCCCCAAAATTGCCAAGACGCCACCGCCTGGGGTCTGTGCCGCGCCATCTTCGCAACCAGGGAGACCACCCACATGGCAGCACGCTCTGGAGTGCCAAGACGCCACCGCCTGGGGTCTGTGCCGCGCCCTCTCGCCATCTTCGCAACCAGGGAGACCACCCACGCGGCAGCACGCTCTGGAGTTTCTAACACGTGTGTGTGTGTGTGTGTTTGTTTGTGTCTAGTGGAGTGTCTTCCGGCTCCAAACGTCACCTGTCGCCTGTCCAACGGGACGCAATTCCACTTCAGCGGGGAGGAGGTGGGCTTCAATCGCAGCATTCCCTGTCGGAACGTGTGAGTACGGGCTTTTTCCATCTCCGCTTGAGGCACCGGAGGGTCTGAGTGCCGGCCCCCGCATCCTCGGGGTGTACAATGAGGGTCTTTGCATTTTGCATCCGGATTCTTTGGGCCGAGTCCAATCGATGATTAGGGGAGAAAGCCTTTGGACGTTGGCGTCCCGAGTCGTTTTGCAACCTCGGGGCTCGTCGGAAGACTGGAGTGCGCTCGCGTCGACCCTTTGGCGTGCCACCTGTTGTGCTTTCAGGAGCGGCTACTCGTACAAGGTGGCGGTGGCGTTGTCGCTCTTCCTGGGCTGGCTGGGCGCCGACCGCTTCTACCTGGGTTACCCTGCGCTCGGTAAGCCATCGCTTTGTTTGGTGTTTTGTCTTTGACACAAACGGCAGTCATAAATCAATCCGTCGGGGGCGCGGAAGCTGCCGTTGACTTTGTGCTGCCTTTGCGCCAGGCGTGCTGAAGTTCTGCACGGTGGGCTTCTGCGGCATCGGCACGCTGGTGGACTTCATCCTCATCGCCATGCAGGTCAGTGGCGGGCCGCGCTCGCCGCCGTC